CCCATGGGCCCAATTCTAGGAACGGAAACCCTTCCGAGAGATTTGAGGACATCACTCCAGGAACCTGGTGAACCTCAGAAAGCTGAGGTACTCCAATTTCCTGACCAAAGTCTCTCCTCTGATGATGCAGAGTCCCTCTCGGTCCTCAGTGTGGTCTCCCCAGACATTGCCAACCAGGAAGCCATCCCCAGGTCCCCCTGTGGCCTGACAGAGCAGCATCTACACAAAGACCTTTGGCCACAGGTATCTCCAGAAGACACTCGGTCACTTTCTCTCTCAGAAGAGAGTCCCAGTAAGGAGACCTCTCTGGATATCTCTTCTAAACAGCTCTCTCCGGAAAGCCTTGGCACCCTCCAGTTTGGGCAACTAAACCTTGGAAAGGAAGAAAAGGAGCCTCTGATGCAGGCTGAGGATACCTCTCAGCACCTAGCCCCCATGTCCATTCCAGAACTCCCTGCAGCCACAGCGTCTCCCCACACAGATGGGAATGCTGGATACTCTGCACGGACGGACATCACAGATGAGAGCCCTGACGGAAAATTACCTGCCAGCTCCTTGTCTCACTCAACACTGTTGGGAAATGGGAAGCACTCACCTGAAGTCATCACAAGCCCTGGTGAACACATTCTGACGCCTGATAGCTCCCTCACCAAGAGTCTAGAGTCTTTGCCAAGCCCTGCCATGGAAGACCTTGCCATGAAATGGGAAGGTAAATTTTCAGAGTTGAAAAGCAGAACCCCAGAGCCAAAGGATGAAGTCCTGCAGCAGGACAGAATTCTGGAGCAGAAGGGTACAACCATCCATCCAAAAGGTGAGGCTCTGGAAGAAAAGAACAAGGCTGTGGAACAGGAGGATAAGACTTTAGAACAAAAAACCAGAGGCATAGGACAGAGGGACACAGCTCTGGAAAAGAAGGACAAGTCCCTGGAACCAGAGGACAAAGACTTAGAACAAAAAGACAGAGACTTAGAACCAAAAGACAAGGCCCTGGAACAGGAGTATGTAGTCCCAAAAGAGAAAGATAAAATCGTAGAACAAAAGGTCAGAGACTTTGGACATAAAGACAAGGTTCCAGGGGACAAGGTCCCTGAACAGAAGCACCCAGGGGACAAGACCCAGGAACAGAAGGACAAGGCCTTGGAAAAGAAGGATCAGGCCTTAGAACAAAATTACTGGGCCTTAGGACAGAAGGATGAAACCCTGGAACAAAACAATAAGGCTCTTAAGCTGAAAGACAAAGCTCAGGAAGAGATGGACAAAACTCAGGAGCAAGAGAGCACAGTGCAGGAGAAAACCACGAAACCAATGAAGATCCAAGAGGAAACATCTTCAGAAAAAGTTGAGGTTGTGGAACAGAAGGAAGAAGCTCTGCTGGAAAAGACCAAAGCTCTGGGGTTGGAAGACAGCCCAGTGCAGGAGGATAAGGCCTGGGAGCAGGAAAAGAAATATTGCAAGGAGCAGGATGCAGTCCCGGAGTGGCAAGAAACATCTCCAAACAGAGGGGAGACAGCTGGAGAACAGAAAGAGCCCACCCAGACATGGGAGGACACAGCTCCTGAGCAGGAGGACAGGTACTGGAGGGGCAGAGAGGACATGTCCCCAGAACAGGACACATACTGGAGGGAACTAAGCTGTGAACGGAAGGTCTGGTTTCCTCATGAGCTGGATGGCCAGGGCGCCCGGCCCCGGTACACAGAGGAACGAGAGAGCACTTTCCTCGACGAGGGTCCAGATGATGAGCAAGAAGTGCCCCCCTTGGAGCATGTGCCCCAGAGCCCCTGGGCCCCAGACTTCAAAGGTTTCCAGAAGTCCTCACCACAGAAGGGGCTGGAGGTGGAACGGTGGCTTGCCGAATCACCAGCTGGGCTGCCACCAGAGGAAGAAGACAAGCTTACCCGTTCCCCTTTCGAGATCATCTCTCCTCCAGCTTCCCCACCTCAGATGGGTGGACAGAGGGTTCCTCCGACCCCAGGACAAGAGAGCTCTGACACAGAGCTTAAGTCCATGCCACCGGTGAGGAAGGAACCTTCCACCCCCTCATGGCTGGCTGACATCCCACCGTGGGTGCCCAAGGACAGACCCCTGCCCCCTGCACCCCTGTCCCCAGCTCCAGCTCCCCCAACCCCTGCCCCTGAGCCACACACTCCTGCACCCTTCTCCTGGGGCACAGCTGAGTATGACAGTGTGGTGGCTGCAGTGCAGGAGGGGGCAGCTGAGTTGGAAGGTGGACCATACTCTCCTCTTGGGAAGGACTACCGCAAAGCTGAAGGGAAAAGGGAAGAAGAAGGTCAGTCTGGGGCTCCTGACAGCAGCCCCCACAGCTCAAAAATCCCAGAGGCCAGTGAGAGCCATGCCACCAAGGAGCCTGAGCAGATGGAGCCAGAGCAGAGAGAGCCCACACCGTATCCTGATGAGAGAAGCTTTCAGTACGCGGACATCTATGAGCAGATGATGCTTACAGGGCTTGGCCCTGCATGCCCCACTAGGGAACCTCCTCTTGGAGCAACTAGGGATTGGCCCATGCATATCTCAACCAAGGAGGAGGCTGCTGGCCGAAACACATCTTCAGAGAAGGAGCTTTCATCTCCTGTCTCTCCCAAGAGCCTCCAATTTGACACCCCACCCTTCAGCTATGCAGCCCTGGTGGGACCCACTGTACCACCTAGGCAGGAGCCTGATCCAGGGCCAAGTATAGAGCCCAGCCTCACCCCCCCTGCAATACCCCCCCGTGCTCCTATCCCTCTGAGTAAAGATCCAAGCCCCCATCTTAATGGTAATACCCTGAGCTGTAGCCCAGATAGGAAAACCCCATCCCCCAAGGAATCAGGCCCGAATCACTGGGATGACAGTATTAGTGACTCAGAGCTAGAGAAGGGGGCTCTGGAGCAGCCAGAGAAAGAGGCCCAGTCCCCAAGCCCCCCTCACCCCATCTCTGAGGAGCTCCCTAAACTGTGGCCTGAAGGTGAGGCAGATACCAGCCCTTCCTCAGACTCACACCTGGGTCCTGCCCGACCCAGCCTGGACTTCCCTGCTTCAGCCTTTGGTTTCTCCTCATTGCAGCCAGTTCCTCCCCAGCTTCCCTCCCCTGCTGAACCCCGCTCAGCACCCTGTGGCTCCCTTGCCTTCTCTGGGGACAGAGCTCTGGCTCTGGCTCCAGGGCCCCCCACCAGGGCCCAGCATGATGAGTACCTAGAAGTGACCAAGGCCCCCAGCCTGGACTCCTCGCTGCCCCAGATCCCATCACCCAGCTCTCCTGGGGCCCCTCTCCTCTCTAATCTGCCACGACCTGCCTCACCAGCCCTGTCTGAAGGCTCCTCCTCCGAGGCCACCACACCTGTGGTTTCCAGTGTGGCTGAGCGCTTTCCTCCCAGTCTGGAGACTGCAGAACAGAGGTCTGTAGAGATGGTCCCAGGAATGGAAGCAGCTGCCCACAGCCTTTGGGACCTCACTCTGCAGAGCCCAGCACCTCCAGCTTCATTGGACTTGGCCTCCGCTCCGCCTCCAAGCTTGCCCGGAGACACGTTTGATGGTTCCCTGTCCTGCCGCCTGGAGTGCTCAGTGGCAGCCACCAAGAAGCCAAGCTCCTTCCAGGGTCCCTCTGGGGATTGTGCCACCAATGGTCCAACTGAAACCAGCCCTAACCCCCCAGACCTTGCCTCAGCCAAGGCTGAGAAGAAAGAGGCTGAAGGCTACCCTGCCTGGGAACGTGGGGCCTGGACTAAGGGAGCTGAAAGCAGCTCCCAGCCAGACATGCTGCTGTCCCCTGAGCAGCCAATGTGTCCTGAAGGGACCTCTGGTGGCCAACCCAGAAGCGTATCCCCTCAGATGGAGGCTGGACCCCAGGGATGTGCCTCTGAGCCCCTGCCCCATCGTGGGGAGCTCTCCCCATCCTTCCTAAATCCACCTCTGCCCCAGTCCACAAATGACAGTGACCTCTCAACTGAGGAAGCTCAGCTGGTAGGGAGAGTGGGAAGGCGCCGGGTGGGGGGCCCCGGAGCCACAGGGGGCCCATGTCCTGTGGCAGATGAGACACCGCCAACGTCAGCCAGTGACTCAGGCTCCTCACAGTCAGATTCTGATGTTCCACCAGAAACTGAGGAGTGTCCATCCATCACAGCTGAGGCGGTCCTCGACTCAGATGAAGATGGAGACTTCCTGCCTGTGGACAAAGCTGGGGGGGTCAGTGGAACTCATCATCCCAGGCCTGGCCATGACCCACCTCCTATCCCCCAGCCTGACCCCCGCCCATCCCCTCCCCGCCCTGATGTGTGCATGGCTGACCCTGAGGGGCTCGGCTCAGAGTCTGGAAGGGTGGAGAGGCTACGGGAAAAGGAGAAGGCACAGGGGAGAGTAGGGCGCAGGGCCCCAGGCAGAGCCAAGCCAGCATCTCCTGCACGGCGTCTGGATCTTCGGGGAAAACGCTCACCCACCCCTGGTAAAGGGCCTACAGATCGAACATCCCGGGTCCCACCCCGGCCACGTAGCACTCCAAGCCAGGTCACCCCAGCAGAGGAAAAGGATGGACACAGCCCCATGTCCAAAGGCCTAGTCAACGGACTCAAGGCAGGACCAAGTAAGTATGATGTGGAAAGTAGGAGAGATTGTGGATTGGGGCTGGGTGTGGCCAGTCTAAGACTCCAGGAGTGGGAGGAAGGGAAGGAGGGAGAAGGTTGCCACAAGCAGTCTACTTTCCCTCTACAATGAGTCCTGGCTTGTCCCTACAGCAGCCTTGGGTTCCAAGGGCGGCTCTGCCCCCCCTGTATATGTGGATCTCGCCTATATCCCGAATCACTGCAGTGGCAAGACTGCTGACCTTGACTTCTTCCGACGAGTGCGTGCATCCTACTATGTGGTCAGTGGGAATGACCCCGCCAATGGCGAGCCCAGCAGGGCTGTACTGGATGCCCTGCTGGAGGGCAAGGCCCAGTGGGGGGAGAATCTTCAGGTGAGTGGCAACAGATGTCAAGGAGGTAATTTGATCCAAGCTTACTCAGAGGCAATAGTGGAACAAAGTTTTTATTCGTAAAAGGACCGAGCCATTTATTTATTTATCAAATGACCTTTGATTGAAATAGTTTCATTTGTAGTCCTTGACTAGCAGGGCATCCCACTACACCACTGTCAATGTCATCTGTAATGTCATGAGGGTGGCAGCTGTCAACCTCACAGCCCACAGAGTGGGCTGTCCCCAGGGTCTCTTTAATGGTTCCAGAGAGTTCTCTAGCTAAAGATCAGTGCCGCATCTGTTGGGCAATGTTGACAATCTCACCAAAAGTGATAGTTCCACTGTGCTTAATGTTTTTCTTGCTTTCTGTCTTGTGGTGGTTCTTTGAGGGCTTTGATGATCAGGGCAGAGGCAGAAGTCACTGCCTCAATCTGGGCCTATCTGTTCTTCATGATCAGTTTCACTGTGATTCTCAGACCCTTCCAGTCACTGGTTGCTTTGGTGATGTCATCACCAACCTTTTTTGGAGACAGGCCCAGGGCCCAATCTTGGGGGCCAGGGCAGATGTAGCACCGACTTCCCTGCTGGTGCACCTCAGACATAAGACTTTGATCTCCCTGGGGTTGAACTTTGGTGGCATGGTGGAGGCAGCTAGTGTCAGATTTGGGACAATGGAAGAAAGTTGCACCTTTGCCTCCTCCAAGCCAAAAACAGGGCTGAGCCCTTCCAATGGGCATTGGGACTGCCTCCTTGACCATCAGGTGTTCCATCCTCCTTGCTTCACTTCCCTTCACAGTCTCACATCAGGCATGTCTTGTCTCCCTCCTAGGTGACTCTGATTCCTACTCATGATACGGAGGTAACCCGTGAGTGGTACCAGCAGACTCACGAGCAGCAGCAACAACTGAATGTCCTGGTTCTGGCTAGCAGCAGCACCGTGGTCATGCAGGATGAGTCCTTCCCAGCCTGCAAGATTGAGTTCTGAAGGAACCCCTCTCCTTCCCCAAGGATCTGTTCCCCCAACTCCCTTAGAAAATGGCCACTGCTGAGTCCTTGGGTTGGGGGACATGGGCACTGGGGAAGGAGAGGGCAGGGGACAGGATGTCTTGTGGGAACTTGGGCTGGGCTAAATGGGAAGGTTGTCCCTTCCCCTCATCCATACCTGAGAGGAGTCTCAAAACCAAAGGTAACAGATAGGATAGGGGGAGGGCACAAAAGTAGGATAGGAGGTCATCTTATGCTTGAGAACCCTGGAGTGACGCCCTCTTCTAGCACGGCCAAATGCTGGGATTGGATGGGGAGTTAGTATGGGTCATCTCAGAGCACAACCTCCTCCCTCATGGAGGGAGATCATATCTACACCCCTAGGGATCTCTTTATTTATTTAGCATCCCAAGAAAGGATTTCTAGTAGTAACTTATGTGACCTGGGGGCAGAATACTGTCAGTGAGGTGCCCAGAGCTGCACCCTTCACCTCCCATCCACTTACCCACCAGGGTCTGGGTTCCAGCAAGGGTCTAGGATACACACTGCTATACTGTCCCACTGCTTCCCTCCATATCTGAATGTCTCAGTCCAAAACTTGAAGCTCTTTTGACCAACAGACTGGTGAGGGAATGAGCTTATCCTCCCAGTCCTTGCTTCACCATACACATCCCAGAGCTGTGACCAGACCAGGCCTCCTGGGCAGCACAAAGGGGCAAGAAGAGCCCAGCCCCAAACCCAGAATTTTCCAAGTTCCCTAACCTATTAAAGTTTTCACCCACCCATTCCAATTATCCTAATCCTTTCTCATCCCCTGCTTGGCTTCTCTGCATGTGGTCATCTACTGTGGCCCGGTGTGTAATGGGTTAAAAATAAGCCACTGCTTGACATCCCAACATTTGACACCCCAGCAATGTGTGAGTCCCCCAACATTCCACTGTACCATCCTGCAGCTGAAATGGGAACGCTGGCTGCCTTTCTAGCCCCAAACTCTTGGACAGAGAGGATCTGGGAGGTGGAGGCCATGCCAGAGGACTTGTGGCAAATGAGAAGGAGGAAGGAAAGGGAGAGGAAGCTGAGCTAAAGCTTAACTCCTACTGAGTGAGAGGAAAACAGGCTGAAAATACCATCTCAGGAGAGGACCTCACCCCAAGCAAGCCAATGGGCAGTCCTGTCAGACTACTGATGGGCTGAGAAATCCAGACGCTCATCAAGGCTCGGCTTCTCTGCCAAATGACTGGGAATCAAAATGAGCCCGCCTGTGTTCCTCCTAGCTCCCACCCTCCCCGTGATGCTGTGTTCTGCTCCTCCCCACACTTCCCTGCTCTAGTTCCCAGCTGCTGTAATGGAGCTGCCTTCAACTCTAACAATAAATCAAGTTCATTAGAGATGCTGCAGTGCTGCTTAGGCTTTTTTCTGACTCCACATGTTGCTTAGTTGCTGGGCCATGATGTCCTCTCTGCTTCTTCAAGCACAGTCAATTCATCTCAATGTCTGATAATGTAAAGCAATTCTAGGACCCAGGGAATCCCAAGAGCATAGGGTGGGTGAAGTGAGAAAAGGATACGAGGAGCCAGCATAGTTTCTGAAAGTGGGTGAGAATACCTGAACCAAGGGTGGGGACGTACATTTGGTTTAGGTGAGGGAAGAAGGGCAGGGGGTCTCCATGGGGTCAAGAGCTGAGGATTGAATGGCTGGCATCAGATACTTCAGAGAGGGGAACAACAAAGAGGTAAGGAGTATAAGGGCCATAAGGAGTCCAGAGCTTGTTGAGATTGTAAATACGTCTTACTTGTACAGTCAGGACTTTCATGGAGTAGAATGTTGGATTTTCCCACTGGAGTGAAACCCTGCATAGTCCTGGGTATGTCAAGAGGCCTAGTTGTAAATGTGAATATATGGGCAGGAGGACTTCCAGCCCTCCTAGTGTTCTGGGCTCTCCCCATGTAAAGATGTCAAGGGGGTAAAGAAAGAGCATAACCCCTTTATGTCAACACTTCCTGACACTCCAAAGCATCAGAGAAAAAATAAGGGGGTGATTCAAAGGAGCTGGTAGAAAAGCATTGTGTACCCTCTGGAGTTTCACGGAGATAGACCCTCTCCTACAACACTACTTAGTGAAGACCTTTTAGGATAGTGGACTGATTGCCATAGTAACCTCCTGGGATGCCTGATCTCTACATTTGTGCAGCCCATTCCCACTCAACTACAAAGGCTCTTGACTGGTTCAGATTAATTCAGTAACACATATGGCTGACTTACAGTCACATTCATTCTTGAGTTCACAAGGACATCATTACCACCACTACCTTTCTCACTATTTTGTATTTATTGAGCACTCATAATGTTCCAGCCCCGCACTCCAACGATGGCATTATCCCTTTTACCCACCCCCATTCCCATCCCCAAATCTTTGGGAAAAGCTTCATAATCACACCTGACCCTAAAAACACAATGATATGAGGACAAACCTCCTGGGGACACTGGAGTGTTTGTTCTTTGGCCAGTCCATCCCTGACACGACTACAGAAATATATATATATGTGTGTGTGTATATATATATATAATCTTTGCTCATGTCTGTACAATATTGATCTCTTCTGCTTAAAATAGAACCTGATTTTCTCTACTGCAGCATCTCCTAAGCCAAAAAGCCCCACAACAAAAGGAGGCCCAGCTTCATAGATTGGCCAAGAACCCCCAGAGCATTTTAAATAGTTTCTCAGAAATTTTCACAGCAATCCAATACCAATTTTCCCATAGAGCTACTGCCCAGAGGAATGGAACTTGGGGCACCTGGGGATGATATGGACATACCCATAAGCCCAGTCTAAAGGTTAGTGGCCGTGATGGATGTTTGTTTGAGAAGGGGACTCTTCTTTCCCAGACATTTCAGACAGCCATCCTGGGCCCATCTGAGGAGTGCTAGCAAAGACAAGAGTCTCCCTGAATGCACGTATGGTCTAAGGGTACCTTGAGAAGTTGTGAATATTTCTTCAGAAAAGTGGAGACCTTGGAATCCCCTTTTGCACTTGTCCTCGGATGGTGTCTTCTGCAGTTAAAAGGCATTTCCTTTAACAATCGGGGATTTTCTGGGTTGCCCAGAGGCAGCTGGGTAATAATAGACCAGCTCACTCCTTGAAGGAAATCCTATTCAAGTCTAATGGCTTGGTGAGAAGTCAATGGCTACTTTGAACATGAAATTGGCCCCTCACCAAGCCCAGCTCCAGCACCCATATGCTTCAAGCCAAGAGGACTGCTTCCTCAGACACCTCTGGTAAGATCCAAGGCCTCACGCTGGTAGGTAATTTAGCCAACAGAAAAAGCTGCTAGCTCAAATGGTTGGTACAGTGTAACATTTTCTTAATGAGAAAATGATTAATCACATGTTGCTGGTGGAAGGGGTGAGTTTTGATCATGGGCTAGAGACTGGCTCTGAAGGTTTGGATCACTACATGGATACCGGGCTTGGGGAACATCCTCCCCAGGCAGCTGGTCAGTCATGTTAGGGACCACCCAGGACTGCTCATTAACCTTCTCAGAAACTTCCTGGATCTGCAGATCACTCTCCTCAGGGAACTCTTGGGATGGTGTATCAGGGATATTGTGAGACAACAGACTGGCTGCAGAAGCCTCTTGGGCCAGTCTGCCAACCTCCAAAGAGAACTCCTGGCATGGTTGGCTGAGCTCCTCAGAGATCTCTTGGGCTGGTGTGACAACTTCCACAAGGCATTTCTGGACCAGGCCACCATCGCCTTCAGGAAGCCCATGGACCAGCCTGCCAACCTCCACAGGGACCCCCTGACATGGCTGGTTGACCTTCTCAGGATTCTCCTGGCAAAGCTGGCAAGCTTCCTCAGAGACTTTCTGACACAGTTGGCTGATCTGAGGGACCTCCTGGCATGGCTGGTTAACATCATCATGGATCTCCTTGCATGGCTGGCTGTCGTCAGGGACCTCTTGGCATGGCTGGCTGACCTCTTCAGGGATGTCCTGGCATGGCTGGCTAAGATCAGGGACCTGCTGACATGGCTGGCTGACCTTGTCGACTTCCTCACGTGGCTGGCTGGTTTCCACAGGTGGTTCCTGTAGGGACTGGCTTGGTACAAAAGGTTCTTGTTCCCCTTCTATGGGGAGCTCTTGCGTTCCATTCCCAGGCTTCTCCTGGTGCAGCCCAGGGCCTTGACGTTCCTCAGCCAAACGTGCACTTAGGGAGGGTTGACCACTGAAGCCAAAATGGCAGTTACCATCCACTGCAGTAGGGGAGGAAGGGCCAGCACTGGACACAGTACTGGAAGGGCCACTGCTGTCTGTAAAGCAAATTCAGAAGACCAAGTCAGGCAAGCTGGAAGAGTAGGTTCTACTCTACATACGTAGTTCAAGTGCCAGAACAGATGGCCTATATTACTCTGTCTTGGGGAAAGAAGGCCTGAATACTTCTAAATTATGCAAAGACTCCCAAGTTAGCCCAGCCCAGAAACTGTTGCTCCAGCCTAACATACACTACAAGAGTAGCACCAAGGTGCATCTAAGGCTTCAGGAGACAGTGCTGAGACTGCCTTCATCCAGTTCTTTCACCAATGTATCCCCATCCCAATTCCAAATTCTCATGATCCCTCATTCACATTTGGAAGCATATGAATGAACGCTTTATCCTGCTGGCTCATAATTAGGGTTACATAGATTCTAATAGATTCCAGAGATTCTAATCTGTAGGTTTAGGGTAAAGGTATGCAGTGGAGAGGGATATAAGGGTAATATATTTTGTTGAAACACACCCAATTACATCTTTGGTTAAGAATTGTTTCTTTTTTAAAAAAAATTATTTATTTATTTTTAGAGGGGAAGGGAAGGAGAGAAGGAGAGAAATATCAATGTATGGTTGCCTTTTGTGAGTCCCCTGCCAGGAACTGGCCTGCAACCCAGGCATTGCCCTGACTGGGAATCCAACCGCGATCATTTGGTTCACAGGCCTGCGCTCAATCCACTGAGCTACACCAGCCAGGGCAAGAATTGTTTCTTTAAAGCAATCAATGTATTTCTGAGGCAGAGGTAATCACTGTTTATAGTCCATGATACAAGTAAGCAGAAGAATGTAGAAAAACCTTGTGAACCAGAACGGTAGAAGGGGAAATGATTTACCTAGAGATGCAAGAATGTCATAGAATCTCTGGCAGCAGATTTTAACTTAAACTTTCTGGGGCTCACTGACCCTTTTGAAACTCTAATGAAAGTCATGGACTACCTTCCCAGAAAAATGTTCGTATGAATAATCATACTAATCTTTACATATAATTCTTGTGGTTCATAGACTTTACCCTGAAATCTATCCATGGATCCAAAGTTAAGACCCTGTAAGTGTTGGGACATACAATGTTACAGGTTTGTGGATATTAAATTCATATAAAATATAAAATCTAATTTCCCAGATCCTCACAGTAATAAAATGAAGGCCATAGAGTCTTCAATTATACTGTGGGACAATTCCTATTCCAACCTCTACTTCTTCATTGACCTCTAGCTGGGGACTAATCTACTTTTCCCTTTGTAAATATTATATTTATTGACAGCATTATAACTTTATATTTATAGCACTCTGATATAAATAATTATAGATTTTGGAAATAGGGGCCACCTGAATATCTTTTAATCAAAGAGTACCTGGGAAAGTTGGCAAACCCAAGACTACAAAGGCTCTATCAATCATTCAGTTTAAGGCATGCCAGCAACCTCTTTTTTTGTGAAGGATCACAGGAGGCATGCTTCGAGCAGAAAAAAAAAAGAGGAACATGATTTTGAGCTAACAATCTTATTTAGGGCAAAGAGACAGACCCCCAAAATACTTACCAATGAGGATATACACCTGATAACTAAGATTACAAACAAGAAAAAAAAGGCTGTAAGCTGAATTCACTCAAACATAGAACTAGCCTTAATATTTGGCTAGTGGTTTGATTCAGGCAAATCAGAGGTCAGACAGAAACATAAGTGGGAGAATGGGAGAAGGGCTAGAGGGGCTCAGAACCATACACAGTAGAGGAGAGAGATAAAAGGGACAATGGCAAGGTGAGTGAATTTCAGAGGGAGAATTTTTAGTGTTAGGAAGGAAAGTTTCTTTAGCATTCAGGGTGCCACAGAAAGGCAATATTCAACAAGTATTTACCCTGATGCTGAAGTATGAATCTACTTAAGTAGTATCCAAGTAAAATAGAGACAGGTGTGTTTAATTTTAGTGATTCCCTGGAGGCAGGATAAATAAGGAAAGGATTTTCCCTTAGTGGTGTCTCCAGCCCTTATCTCCCCTCTGATTACTACTGATATCTCCCTCCCCTTACAATTACCCTAAAAATCCTTGTGGCCCCCATTGTTCACAGGATAATTAGTGATAGACTAAAGACAATGAAGAACAGATGGGAAAAAGCAGCACCTCAACTTGTACTGACAACAGACGACTTGAGAGAAAGGACATCTAGAGAGTAGTAGCAGATTCTAGTTTCCTTCTCCCAACTTTTCTATATATTCAAGTTTCCTCCCAAGTCATCTTTACTTGAGGATGCTGTAGAGACCAAATGAGGATTTGAGGAGATCGAAGTCTTCATCCTTTCTTCCCCAAAAGACTCTCTATCTTTTTGGAGCCTCCCCTAATGAGATAGAAGGAGCATGGAGGACAGGGGTGACAAGACACATATCCTCCCTTCATCTTGAAAGAGGCAGATGTGACTGTTCCCTGACTGGTTATTCCTGGTCTTTCAACACTCATCTTCATTCCCCTCAAGGGACAGGTCTCTCTCTCACTCCCCAATCCCCCCATCCCTCTTGACCTTTGTCTAGGGAGTTCCAAAAGGATTACTTACACCAAGGGGGCTTCTCAGAGCGCTGCTGAAGTTGTATGGTAGGTGAATGAAGAGTTCGGGGTGGGGAAAATGGGCTATCTGAGGCCTGGTTGCTGTGCATAGACTCAAAGAGTGCTGGATAGGTGGGGGGGGGGGGGGGGAGAAAGGGCAGAAAAAAAAAAGCATATGAAAAAGAATCCAAGACCCACAGTTCTCAACATAAGTCAACCAACTTATATTTCCTCAGGCTGGAAAGAAACATCCTCTACATAATTTTTAATATTTTAAACTTTGTATTATGAGTATTTTCAAATGTATTTTTTAAAGTCATTGAAAAACTAGTACAATCAATACTGATACACTCATCTCCTATATTTAACACATTAGTTCATGTCAGCATGTTGCCATACTTGTTTCATCTATTTCTTCATGCTGAAGTTCTCTAAAATAAATGACAGACATCATAAAACATTTCACCTCTAAATATTTTAATATACACTTCTAAAATATAAGGAATTTCTCCTATATAGACATATACTACTAATAAATCTAACAAAGAAAATAATACCTGAATGTCATGTAACACCTAATCCATATTCGAATTTCCCCCGATTATTTGAAAAATGTCTTTTATAAAGCCTGAAAACATGGCAAATGTGCTTTTTCACTCATGACCAAAAAAAACCCATTTAAAACAGACACTGGTTTCAGGGTCTTCTGGATGCTTATCTTGCCAAGTAATTTCAGTTTACAGGTAAAAACATAGATAACTTAAGTGCTTTTGTTTTAAAGTCTTTGAATAATTTTCTCAATTATATTAGTCTGCTTAAAAAAAAGACTCCAAAAAGAGGGACATAAGATGAATTTAAAGCCAATTTTCAAAATATTAAGTATTTTTAAAATTTGAAGTCAGCTTATAAATACAAAGTATCATATGCAAAGAATGTGTGGTGAACGTAGACATACTTCCCTCTCCAAAGTATGATACAAGTGAAGAAAAATATAGTGTATTAGTTTCAGAGTTAACACTGGGAAATGTTGATATTTGAGTTATCTGATGAGACTTGTTGGCACTAGTTAGGAAATATTCTGCTTTAAAGTGTTATGTATTAAAATATTTTAAGAATAGTATGTGTTAAGTGCTAGATGTAAAATATTTTACTTTTGAAATGGTTCCCAGTAAATTATTAGTCCCAGTAAACTTTAGTTTCTCGGCACCTAAACTTGTGCTACAAGCAAAGTAAAAACCTACTTAATAAGGTACGGTAGATATATGTTAAAAAAAATCCTCATTCTCACCTCAACTGTCTACATCTTTCTGTTCTTTAAGGAACCATAGTACTTTTCTTTTAAAGTCTTGAGTTTCTTTGAATATGTTTTTCTGAAGATTTTGTAATTAAGCAGCCATGAATATACAATGTTTAACTACAGATTGTGAACAGCTCCTTACATTGTGAACAGTGTAAAACTACTTAATAAAAATTAGATTTTTTTAATGTCATTTATAGTAAGATCTAAACATGAAACATGCATCGTATTTGGTTATGCCTCCAACATCTCTTGTAATTTAGGATAGTGCCCTCCTCCCCATTAATTTTTTTCATAATGGCTTTTTGAAGAGAACAGTCAGTTGTTTTACACAATGGCATTTCTTACATTCTGAATTCATCTGATTGCTTCTTCATAAAATCACTTAACTTGCTTCATTATCCCTTGTATCGCCTATAAACTGGAAATTAGCTACAAAAGGCTACATTAGACTATTCAATTTAAATAACTTTGGCAAGAAGTTACTTGCCAAATAACATATCACTGAAGAAGTGATCTGTGTATATTATATTATATTATATTATATTATATTATATTATATTATATTATATTATATTATATTATATTATAGGAATGTAATGTCTCATTGTCCCACTAAGTAACGCTAAATTTACCATTTGGCCTAAAGTGGTGACCACAAAAAATCCCCCCATTGTAAAGTTTTCCCCTTCTAATGAGAGGTGATCCTTTGACACCCTGCAAGCCCACCAACATTTCAACTAATTGTGTTAGTATCCATTGATGATCTGTAATTATTTTATTAGGAGTGTCAAGTGATGATTTTCTAATTCTATCAATTTATTAGCTGGGTTTTTTTCTATAAAGAAATTTTATTAGCTGCCATAGTTTCTGTAAAGAAGGGCTTTTCCTCTTTTTTAAAAATAGAAAAAAGATTGTATTTATTCATTTTTAGAGAGAGGGAAAAGGAGGGAGAAAGAGAGGGAAACATTGTTGTCTCTTGTACACCAACTGGGGACTGAACCTGCAACCCAGGCATGTGCTCTGACAAGGAATTGAACCAATGACCTTTCAGATTGCAGGACAATGCCTAACCAAGTGAGCCACTCCAGGCAGGGCAAAACTTTCACTCTTCAACTGGGGCTATTTAATTATACTGAACTGCATTTGTTACTAAAAAAGATGTGCTTATTTCCCTTTAATTAGTTTTTAAAGAAAAGAGTTGTTGAACAGTATTCTCCAATAGTGACAGATGATAATGATTTTATTTTGTTTTTGTAAGATTATGAATTTGCAAATTTTTATATATTCAGTACACTTTAATTCATCGCAATAAATTATTCTTTTTAATGCTAAAATATTCCAATTCTGGTCAGTGGGAGCTTCCTCAGGACTGATTGCTTCTGTGCTTTTGTTACATGTCCCAGAATCCCTTGTACCTTTGTTGCCCTAGACCATGCATTCTCAACAAAATTAGATATTGTTGAGGGTGAAAAAATTCTTAGATATTCAATTGGTTTGTGTCCATCATATGGCCACAATACATAAATAAATATACAGTATGTCTGTGGTATTAAAATTTTGTGCAGTGGGGGATGATTAGGGAAAAATGCCTATAGAGGCTCAGGATTGGGGAGTGTGTGATTTCTTTTATTAAAGGTGAAAAAATATACACTAGACCAAGAATCAGTCATTTTCCCATGGAATCCTGGTAGTAGGGAAGGGTATGTAGAGACCAAAATCTATGTGCTAAGGGAGCTCGTTGCTACTGCTGCTAATGCCTAATGATAGAAATAGCACTTTTAAAAAACCTGAATTCATATTGATAGTTTCTATTCAAATTTAAAATTACAGCATTTTTAGGCCCAGGCCAGGTAGCTCAACTGGTGAGAGCATTGTTCCAATATGCCAAAGTTGTGGGTTTAAACCCTAGTCAGGACACATACAAGAATCAACCAAGGAATGCACAAATACACGGAACAACAAATCAGCATTCTCTCTCTCTGCCTCTCTCTCTCTGTCTGTCTCTCCCCCCTCACCCCAAAATCAATAAATTAAAAAAAAATAAAATAAAATTACAGTATTTAAAAATCTTTTAAATTTATACTTGTACCTATCTTACCTTGAAAACCCTGGTTCCCAATAGGAACATAATCACTTAGCTTATTTGCATTACTTATCTTATTTGTATTATCTTATTAAAGTTTATATAGTTTAAAAATAATACCAATAGCCCTAGCTGATGTGGCTCAGTTGATTGGAGCATCATACCATAACTGAAATAATGTAGGCACAAGCCTAGGTTGTGGGCTCCATCCCAGGTTGGAGGTTTTTCTCACTCACTCTCCCTCCCTTCCCCTCTAAAATCAATACACTTAAAAAAAAATAGTACCAATATCACTAACAAACTACTGAATGAGATTAAAATGATTTTACAGTTCTTTTTGCTACACTAAAGGCTTTGCAGTCAGAGTACAGTATTCTAAAGTTATTTCTCTGAGTTGGTCTAGCTAAAGGTTTGTGAACTTGTTGATTTTTTTTCAAAGAACCAACTTTTTTGGTTTTGTTGATCCTTCCTATTATTTTTCTATTCTTTGTCTCCTTTATCCCCACTCTAATCTTTGTTATTTTTTCCCTTCTGCTAGCTTTGGATTTAGTTTGTTCTTCTCATTTAAGTTCCTTAAAGTATAAAGTTAGATTTTTGAAAAGATCCTCTTTAAGGTGTTCACAGCTTTAAATACCTTCATAGCATTGATTTTACTGCATCCCATAACTTCTGTCATGTTGTATTTTCATTTTAATTCATCTAAAAGTATATTCTGATTTGCAGTATAATGGATCTCCACCCTATAGGTTGTTTAAGAATACCTTGTTTAGCATCAGCTGGTGTGACTCAGTGGATTGAGTGCCAGCCTGTGAACCAAAAGGTCACCAGCTCAATCCCCAGACCAGACACATGCCTGGGTTGCAGGCCAGATCCCCACTTAGGGACACTGTAAGAGTCAACTGATTGATGTACTTCTCACACACTGATGTTTCTTTCCCTTTCTTTCTCCCTGCCTCCCCCTTTCTCCAAAAGTAGATAAATAAAATCTTTACAAAAAACGAATATGTTGTTTATTTTCCACATATTTTTGAATTTTCTGCTTTTCCTTCTATTATTGATTTCTAGCATTATTTCATTGTGGTTGGAGAGAATATTTTGTGTAATTTCAATTTTTTAAAATTTATTTACACTTATTTTGTGACCTAACATGTAGTCTATCCTGGAGACTATTCCATGTGCACTGAAGAAGACTCTGTATTACTCCAAAGGCAAGGGAAGCAAAAGCAAAAATAAATAAATAAATGGGGTATCTTAACTATAAAGCTTCTGCACAGTAAAAGAAACCTCCAACACTTCTGGCCAAGATGGAGGTGTAGGTAGACACACTGTGCCTCCTCAAACAACCAAAATAAGGACAACAACAATCAGAAACAAAGTAACAACCAAAACTGAAAGAAAATTGAACTGTATGGAAGTCCAACAACCAAGAAGTTAAAATGGACACATTGGTCCAGACTGGTAGGTGGGGCACAGTCGAGGCACAGGAAGCACAAGGCACCCTGGGCGAGCCAGGCACCCCGGGGTGTGCAAGGCAGCACCAGGCAGACACTGGGAACCCAGGCGGTAGCTGGCAGACCCCAGGTATGGGGTGGCAACGGTCAGACCCAGCAAGGCAGTGATTAAGAAGCAGGGAACCATGCACAAGGTTGCTTGCTGACCGGGCAGTGGTCCCACATTCGTGTACAGATAACTGGGGAGCAACACAGATCATGCAACCCAGGGTCCTAGCCCCGGGAAATAA